TATTGTAACCCTTCCAACAATTAGGTTGATATAGAGGAGTAGCTGGTTACAATATTACCAATTGAATGAAACATTTAAACATGATAAAAAGTGCGGCTTTGATGAACAAAGTTCCCAATTTGAAAGGGAACTAATAGAAAACAGAGGAAAATTGATTTTAAGGATGTATATTGTTAGAATGGGACATCAAGGATGAAAAGATTAAATCTGCTATGATCTCGGGATGTGGGGCACAATACAGACTTAGAATCATGGGGAAAACTGTGGAAATTTGGGTTGAATTTCACAATGTGTTATACTTTGAGGGGAAAACTTCATTAAAATGATATATAAAACAGTACCTAACACCAAGGAAATTGGCAAAGATGTTTAAATCAGCTTCAAATATCTGTTGGAAATGTAAAGAAGTAGAAGGTTCATTTTACCGCATGTGGTGGACATGTAAAGTGGCTAAGGACTTTGGGAGATGATTCATAATGAGATAAAAAAGATATTTAAGGTTAACTCTCCTCAAAAGACCAGAAGCCTTTTTATTAGGGATAGCTGGAACAGATGTCCCCCCAAAACAAGTCTGTTTCTTTATGCAACATTGGCAACATGAATATTATATGCACAAAAAAGGTACCTACTAAAGAAGAATGGCAACTGAAATTGTAAAATATGTAGAATTGGAAAGTCTGATTTGCAAAATTAGAGATCAAAAAGAGACTGACTTTAAGGAGGACCGGAAAATGTTTGTAGATAAGACTCAATGTAAACATGTTTAAATGCAAGTAAGATTTGAGTAAGAACAACAGTGGAAAGTATGGTGGAGGTTTTTTTTTTTGAGAAGAAGTTAAGGCATAGAATAATAATAATATGCAGCAAGAATTGGAATTTTGGGGAAACCATGGAGGGGGGGAGGGGAAGTCCTAAGGACTAGGTTGACTGATTAAATTTGAAATGTTGTTGAATTATCGTTTAGTTTTCAAATTTCCATAAATAAAAATTTTAAAAAGACATTTGTAAAGGAGTGTGATGCCATCTATGTAGTAATTTCAAGGAGTTTGCCCCAAGAAAACTGGAAACAGATTTTAAGGGTCATGATTCCCAAATTTTATTCCAATCCTTGAGAAGAATTTGTGTGCCAGTTTCTAGTTCCAAAACCTTTCTAAAGGCTTCCCTAAATCTGTAAGTCACATTAAGGCAAACTAATCCATTGTGTTTAATTCATTTTCAAATGGTGTTAAGGGTCTCAGAGCTTGTGCTTTTACCATTTATAATTAAACTATGAATTTGGTAAAAATAAGTTGCTATTTGTTAACACCCCACTTCGATGAAAGAGGTTTTCTCTAAACAGGATGAAAGCTTGGTGGATGTTTCAATCTATGAAATGTAGAGGATATCCTCTCTGAAGGAAGTTCACTGATGATCCCTCTTTGGTATGTATATTTATTGTTGCAAATGCATTTGATCCTGAGAGCCAGTCTGTAGACAACATGTATACATTTTGGATGGCAGGATTTCATGTACAGCTAGGTGTGGGCATCAGTGGGTTTGCTGTAGAGAAGATCTGTCGCTCTTTTGTGCTTCCAGTGCTGAGGAGGACATTGAGGAAAGGAATGTTTTGACTTACCGTATCAGTGGTGCTGTTGAATGTAAGCTTGATAGCTGATGAACAGAATGGACATAATTGATCTTTTTGCCATTTGCCCAGACCATCAATGTATCGCCGTCATTTAAGTGGTTTGTGAGTGGACATTGTTAGTAAACTTGATGAATGAAATAGGTGTAAATTGATAGAGTAGATGTAATAGATAGGTTATTTTTGCCATTTGTCCAGACCACAAAGAAATCATCAATGCATTGCCACCATATAAGCGGTTTTGTGAATGGGCTACCTGAGGATATTGTTCCAAGTTTTCACATGATTAAGATGGAGGCATAGCTCTGTGGTTCTCACACTCATTGAATCCCCACAACAACCCTGTGACCTAGGTTATCCTATATGGATAATCAGTTGATAGAACAAGTTACAGTCTTTAAATACCTCGGCCTTATTTTTCAGTCAACAGGGTTATGGGGAGCACATCTGAAATATGCAAAGGAAAAAGCACCAAAATTCTGAAACACTAAGCTAAATCCCTAGCACAGTTATTATATGGGGCTCAGATATGGACAGGCACTCACCTTGGATCAATCTAAGTTCCTAAGGCAATCCCCGCCCCCCCCCCCCGTTCCATCCCATGTTCCAAATGCTTCATTGTGCCGGGAGGCTAATCTCCCCTTTGTTGAATTACAGACTTGGTGTAGGACATTTAATTATTGGCTTTGCCCAAATTTAAACCCCACCAGTCTACTACCCTTACTATTGCAAGAATGTCACCAGAGTGCTTGGACTAAAATTGTCAACCAAAAGCTTTACTTTTCTGGTTTATCACCGCAACAGTTATTAACACTGGGCTTCAGTAAAGCAAATAATTTAATTAGACGCGCCTATATGATATCAAGCAACAGAATCATTTGGCCATGATAAGGAAATTTTGTCCCTGGTATGATTATTTTCCACCTAGTCATTTTGACACATTGGCACCCTATTTAACAATTCCAAAATGCAGATGCACTTTCACTTATGCAAAATTAAATACACTGCCTTCAGATGTACTTGAGGGTTGATTTCAAAAAATCCCACTGGAAAAACGGTTATGTCCATGTGGAGATAGCAGTATTGAGTCAGTAGCTCCTGTGCTTGTAGCTTGCACTCTTTATAAAGATTTGAGGAGTGAGGTTATTACACCTCTACTACTATCCATACCCGGTCGCTCAACCATTGCTACTGTGTCTGTCCTTCTAGCAGATCAAGATAATCAGGTGACAGCAAAAACTGGAGAAAAATATTAGCAGGGGCAATTAGAATAATATATTTTATTTGATTATTGATGTAAACCTCCAGAATGTATTTTGGATCTTTAAGGTTTTACCTCTATCGTCAGTTCATTTTATTTTATGTTATTGCTATGGCTAGTGGCTGATGCAAATAAAGATTCTGCTGCTGCTGCTGCTGCTGCCGATTTTGTGCACTCTTGGCTCAGTGCCATGTCCAGGGGAACCACCCACCCTGCCCTAAATCCAGCGCTGACCTTGGTCAGGGCTGTAGCTCAGTGGTAGAGCACCTGGCTTTGCATGCAGAAGGTCCCAGGTTCAATCCCCAGCATCTCTGAGTAGGACTGGGAATATTCCCCCATCTGAAATCCTGGATTGCTGCTGACAGTCAGTGTAGTCAGTACTGAGCAAGATGGACCAAAGATCTGACTTGGCATAAGGCAGCTTCCCGTGTTCCTCTTTATATCAGCCTTTCATTTAGAACCATGAGGACCTTGTTTTATTTTAAGGGAATAGGTAAAGGTAAAGGGACCCCTGACCATTAGGTCCAGTCGTGGCCGACTCTGGGGTTGCGGCGCTCATCTCGCTTTATTGGCCGAGGGAGCTGGCGTACAGCTTCCGGGTCATGTGGCCAGCATGACTAAGCTGCTTCTGGCGAACCAGAGCAGCGCACGGAAACGCCGTTTACCTTCCCATCGGAGCGGTACCTATTTATCTACTTGCACTTTGACGTGCTTTCGAACTGCTAGGTTGGCAGGAGCAGGGACCGAGCAACCGGAGCTCACCCCGTCGCGGGGATTCGAATCGCCGACCTTCTGATCAGCAAGTCCTAGGCTCTGTGGTTTAACCCACAGCGCCACCCGTGTCCTGATTTTAAGGGAATAGCTGTGGCTTAATGGTAAGAGCACCTGCTTTGCATGCATAAGGTCTCAAGTTCAGTCCCCAATGGAATCTCCTTGTAGGGATGGGCCCCTTGTCTGAAACCCTGGAGAGCTAAGTAGCTTCAATCTTTTCAGACCCACGACCTATGTTCAACCTGAGCCGTCTCACATATTCCAACATCCCATGCTATTTTATTAGGAAGCACCAGGGGGCGCTTGTCCACCTTTTTGCAAACTTAATTGCCTTTAAAACTTCTCTCTTGCAACCCAAAAGGAGAGTTCAGCCGCTCATCTCAGTGGTATCTTTACCAAAGAAAGGAATCTTTCTTATAAATAATGCCAGGTCTGAGTGCAATATTATTTTCCTCAGCCTCTACCCATCTGTTCCTGATGGACTTTTAACACCAGTCGAAACCAGTAGCTGAGTCAGCCATCCATCTACCTCACTATTATACACACTGACAGTGACTCTCTGGAATGCCCCCTCAACCTTTGTTGTTGTTGAGTCGTTTAGTCGTGTCCGCCTCATTGTGACCCCGTGGACCAGAGCACGCCAGGCACTTCTGTCTTCCACTGCCTCCCGCAGTTTGGTCAAACTCATGTTTGTAGCTTCGAGAACACTGTCCCACCATCTCGTCCTCTGCCGTCCCCTTCTCCTTGTGCCCTCCATCTTTCCCAACATCAGGGTCTTTTCCAGGGAGTCTTCTCTTCTCATGAGGTGGCCAAAGTATTGGAGCCTCAGCTTCAGGATCTGTCCTTCCAGTGAGCACTCAGGGCTGATTTCCTTCAGAATGGATCGGTTTGATCTTCTTGCAGTCCATGGGACTCTCAAGAGTCTCCTCCAGCACCAGAATTCAAAAGCATCCATTCTTCGGCGATCAGCCTTCTTTATGGTCCAGCTGTGGGTTAAACCACAGAGCCTAGGGCTTGCCGATCAGAAGGTCGGCGGTTCGAATCCCTGCAATGGGGTGAGCTCCCATTGCTTGGTCCCTGCTCCTGCCAACCTAGCAGTTTGAAAGCACAAAGTGCAAGTAGATGAATAGGTACCGCTGTGGTGGGAAGGTAAACGGCGTTTCCGTGCGCGGCTCTGGTTCGCCAGAAGCGGCTTAGTGATGCTGGCCACATGACCCGGAAGCTGTACGCCGGCTCCCTCGGCCAATAAAGTGAGATGAGCGCCGCAACCCCAGAGTCGGCCACGACTGGACCTAATGGTCAGGGGTCCCTTTACCTTAGTTTAGAAAAAGGGGGAATGGCAGAGGTGCATAAGAATCTATTGGTGGAGTGGAGAAAGTACCGGTATATGTTGGGAGATTCCAAACAAGAGGAAGGACACTGCGCATGGTGAACTATGAAACTCCCTGCAAGAGGTTGTGATGCAAACGGCCACCAACTTGGATGGCTTTAAAAGTTGTTGGCATCCTTCTTTCTCGAGAGGCAATGGAGTGCTCCTCCAGGGGTGAAGTTGTACCGCAGCACGGAAGTGACTTTCCTCAGTGTGCAACGCCTGGGCAGTGTATATGGGGGTCCTGGGCTGCCCAGACGACAAGACCCCCTTCTCAGCCTCGCTGGAACTCATGTGGGACTCAGGAGAAGGCTCTCAGTGGCTATTAGCCATGATGGCTAGGTTCTCCCTCCACAGTCGGAGGCCGTAATGTTTCTGAACATTGGACTCTCAAGTGGGGAGCGAGGGCGTTGCGCTCAGGTCCTGCCCGCGCGCTTCCCCTTGGGGATCCCGGTTGCTCACTGCACTAGATGGGTCCCCTTTGGCCTGACCTCTCCTGATCTTGATTCACGTTGTCATCACCGCCGCTTCGGGTTCGGGGTGCCGCTTCGAGCAAAGGGGAAGCCTCCGCCGGGTGGGGCGCGAGCCAGCCACCCCCCGCGCTCCTCCCCACCGCTTGCCGGCAACGCTTCCACGTGACGGCGAGGCTGGATCCAGGGAGCCGCCCACCGGGAGCCGAGCGAAAGAAAACACTCGGCGGCGGGCGGCGAGAGAGGCAGTGAGCGCACCTGCTCGCTGCGCACGGAGGCGCACCGCTCGCCAAACCTCTCCAAGGGCGCGCCTGACCTCTCCAAGGCGCGCAGGGAAGAAGACGGAGAGGTCGCCTCTCGCTCGCCACGTGCGCCGCTGTCCCTCGTCCCATGGCCCTTCCCGGCCCGAGGTGAGCCAGCCAGAGAGGGCCCTCCATGCCGGCGCGCCAGAAGCAGGAGAAGAAGAAGAAGAAAGGCGCCAGCGCTGGCCGCGTGGATGCGGCGGCGCTGCTGCTGCGGGAGCGCACGGCAGCCGGAGCAGCCACGGGCTCCCTGGGCCAGCCGCCTCCCGCCGCCGCCGCCGCCCTGCCGAGGATGTTCAGCTGCGTGGGCTGCTTCTGGGTCCTCTTGTCCTCCTGCCTCGTGGCCGTCTGCAGCTTCAGCTTCCTCTCGCCGGCTTGGATCGTGAAGGAGCGCGGCGGCGGCGGGCGGCGTTTGGTGGTGGCCACGGCCGCCGCCCTGGAAGGCAGCGAAGGCGGCGGCGCCGGCGGCGGAGAGGTCAGCTTCGGGCTGCTGTGGCACTGCTCCGAGTCCCTGCGCCACATGTACGACTGCTACACCTTCGGCGGGCTGGGGAGATTCAGCGAGATCCCCTCCGGCTCCTGGCAGGTGAGAGACGGGTTGAGCCTATCTAGCTTTGTGTTGTTCACACTGGCAGGCAGCGACGGCGCGGGGGGGGGGGGAGGCGGTTCGGATAACGGGACCTACCCAGCCCACCAGGAGATGCCGGGGATTGCACTTGGGACCTCTTGCGGGCAAAGCAGGCGCTCTATACCACTGGGCTACAGCTCTTCTTTTAAAAATCAAGAAAGGTTCTAGTCCTCATGCTTCTGAATTACAGGCTGGTTGAATGGGAACATAGGAAGCTGCCTGGCAACAGCTCTCTCTCTTTTTAATAAGGGGGTATTCCCAGCCCTACCTGGAGATGACATCAGCATTTGAACCCGGGACCATTCTGCATGCAAAGTGGATGCTCTGCCAATGAGCCTCTGCTTGGAGCTGCCTTATATCAATTGCGCCAGACTGTTAGTCTTTCTAGCTCAGTATTGCTGATGGCAGCTCTCCAAGGTTTTGGCAAGGGGGGGGAGGCATTCCCAGACCACTAGGGAATGGTGGGCATTGAATCTAGGAGTAAAAGGAACACATGAGGAGCTGCCTTATGCACATTGGATGCCCCTCTGTCAAAGATGCTTTAGCTGAGATTCCTTCATTGCAGGGGGTTGGGCTGGATGACCCTTGGGGTCCCTTCCAACTCTACAGTTTTATGGTTCTATACTGAGTCAGACCATTGGTCCTTCTAGCTCAGTATTATCTACCCTGACTGGCGGTAGTGGCTACCCAGGGTTTCCCATGGGGAGACATTCCCAGCCACACCTAGAAATGCTAGGGACTAAACCTTCTGCATGCAAAGCAGGTGTTCTGCCATAGAGGCGTGTGATCCTTCCGCTGAAAATAAGCATAAAATTCTAGTCCTCATGGTTCTGAATAAGGAGCTGGAGCCGGAATCTGCCTTTTGCTGAGTCTGACCATTGGTCCATCCAGGTCAGTACTGCCTACACTGACGGGCAGCGGCCCTCCACGGCTTCAGGTGGATAGTTTCCCCTCCACCCTCCCTAGAGGATTGAACCTGGGACCTTCTGCATGCAAAGCAGATGCTCTGAAATTGCGCGGTGGCCTTTCTCCTAGCCCCTGTGGAATTGCGTCGTAAAATTGCACCTAAATCTGCAGCGGCGACTTCCAAGGAAGGTTGTTTCGTGTCAAGGTTGCCAGCTGGATTGGCTTGCCTCTGAGGTTTTTAATTTTAATTTGTGTCCTGGGTGTGTGTGCACGCGCGTGCCTTGTTTTGATGATGCCAAAAATGAAAGCCTAGCAGAAAACAAGCCGGAGATGTTTGCTGGGCTGTCCGGGTGTCAGCAGGCAGACAGCACGTGCTTTGCAGTTAGAAATCTGTTGGGAGCTTCAGGGGAGGAAAAAAGAAAGCGCTTCTTGACATAGTGCATAGTTCGTACTGGGGCATTTGTTCCCACAAGAGGGAGCAACGGCCACCCAGGTGAATGAATTTTAAGAGTGGGCTCACAGAGGCTGACATGGTGGTTGTGCTCTCCCTTCCACTGTTGAAGGCAGGATGGTGAGAATCACAAGTGGAGAGAGTGTTTCTGTTGGCGATCAGGTTCTGCGTGCGGGCTTCTCTTTGCGACATCCAGTTGGCTGCTGTGAGATGCGGGGGCCTGGACTAGGTGCACCCAGTGTTAGAAATTAGCCAGCAGCCAGGCGCGTTTTGCTACTGGCGTGGGTCCAGTTGCAACCACGAGGGGATTTCTGGATGGCAGTTGGGTAACCACAGTTTAAAACCACTGCCTCAGTTCATGTAAAGGTAAAGGGACCCCTGACCATTAGGTCCAGTCGTGGCCGACTCTGGGGTTGCGGCGCTCATCTTGCTTTATTGGCTGAGAGAGCCGGAGTACAGCTTCATGTGGCCATGTGGGTCATGTGGCCAGCATGACTAAGCCGCTTCTGGCGAACCAGAGCAGCGCACGGAAATGCCGTTTACCTTCCCGCCGGAGTGGTACCTATTTATCTACTTGCACTTTCACATGCTTTCGAACTGCTAGGTTGGCAGGAGCTGGGACCGAGCAACGGGAGCTCACCCTGTCATGGGGATTCAAACCGCCAACCTTCTGATCGGCAAGTCCTAGGCTCTGTGGTTTAATCCACAGCGCCCCTCAGTTCATAATTATTACCATTTCCACGGTGTCTTTTTCCCCATCTGTCTTGCATTCTGGGGCAAGTGAATTGTAAGAGCAAGCTACAGTCAAGCAGTGTAGTTGAGATCAGAGAATCGTAGCCTTGGAAGGGACCTCAAGGGTCATCTAGTCCAACCCCCGGCAAATAGACTATGGTGACTGTAACCTAGGTTCAAGGTGCCATTTGGCGAATAGCTTACATATCTGAGTTTCTAACATTGGACGCACCCCCATGGGCCTGTTCCAGCAGCTAGGCTTCCAGTGTTCTTAGAAGCTTCCAGGTTTGATCTCCAGCGTCTCCTATTATAAAAATATTGGGTAACAGGGTTGGGAAAAAACCTGTCTTTGCCTGAAACCTTCTTCCGGGGAGTTGGGCCACTGGATGGGGCTGATGGGGGAGGTGTAGTCCAAAACATAGAGAGAGGGGGGCACCAGTTTGGGACTGGCCAGCCCAGACTTACAAGTATCGTAGCTTGTGCAGGAGGCTTAGAGCTGGTGTTTAGAACGATTTCCCAGTTAAAGCATCGTTGTTAGGGTGGCTCTTTAGAGAAAAAAAGTCAGTTGCAATTAACAAAGAAAAGTAAGGATGGGGAAGAATAAGGCCCTCAGAATAAGGCCAATGAGGAGTTGCTGTGCTTGGTAGGTGATGGCCCTGAATGTTGAATATGAGTTTGAAACATAAACTGGGTTTTTATGTAAGAATTCAGTGGAGTATCCTGCTGAAGGGCATGGCTGACTGGCTGGCAGGTACCCTGAACTGGAGTGCTCCTGTTGATAGCGATGAAGATTACATTGCAGTAGTTTGTTGTGGGGCATGCGTTTATGCAATGGAATGGAGTACACGGTCGGTTGGTTGGTTGGTTGGTTGGCTGGCTGGTCCCCTGAACAGGAACAGGGGCATAGATAACATTGCTATATTTTCTTGCTGGTTCCACTTACCACTGTATACATTTAAATGATTTATAAAGGATTAAAACAACATTTAAACTCTTATTAATCATGCATTGGGGATTGGTCCTCCCCGGCCCCCCCTGCAAATCTTTCGTTCTTGCTCAGTGATGGTGTGGAATCAGCGCGAATTCTTGTGTAGCGCATTAATGGGCTAACAAATGTGTTATTATGGGGTCTGTCAGCCACAGCAGCCTGACACTCTTTTACCCCTGTGGAAACTGCCATGGTTGTTGTGGAGTGGAAATGTCAATCGGCAGCTAATTATCACCGCTATGGAACTGGGCTCTTCCACTTGGCTTTTTTGCAATATTTACAACTCACCTTTCATTGACTTGTCTAAGAGTTGGTTGGAAGACTTGTTGATCCAGAGCACAAGAGAGTTTGATATATATCTATATCTATATCTATATCTATATCTATATCTATATCTATATCTATATCTATATCTATATCTATATCTATATCTATATCTATATCTATATCTATTTATCTGAGTTGGCTTCATTCTGGAGAGTTTGCATTTCTGCCTTGAACTTCTGCCAATTTTATTCCTGAGTTTTGTGCTAAAGGGGGGTTTCCCCCTTTCCTGGCCTGACCCTGCACCTCTTGGCAAGTTGCTTTGGTACCTCTCTTCCAACAGCACAAATAGCTTTGGGGGCTTTTTTCTTTTTACTGTGCTCCTAGCATGGGGGAATCAAGTTGAAAATAACAACCGCCCTCCTTGGCCCTTGCTGCAAACTTGAGCCATGTTGGCCCCCCGCCCCCCCGCAAATAGGAGCAGAACCTGGGGCCTTCTTCATGCAAGCAGATGCCCTACCACTGAGCTACTCTTCTCCCCCTAAAAATAAAACAACATTCCAGTCCTCATGGTTCTGATATACCATATTTTTCGCTCTATAAGACACACTTTTCCCCTCCTAAAAAGTAAGGGGAAATGTGTGTGTGTCTTACGGAGCGAATGCAGGCGGGAGGCTCTGGTCAGCGCTCCCTTTGAAAAGCTGTGTGGAGCATGTGCGCGGCTCTTGGGGGTTTTTCCTTGAGGAGGAAAAGCGCTGCGACCCTGCTGGCTGTCCTGGCTTCTTGCTTAGCCGCATACAGCCTCTCCCGGGCAAGGGGAGCCTTCATCCCGCTGCCTGGGAGAGGCTGCGAGCAGCTAACCCATAAGCCAGCAGTGATCCCACTTGCTGTCCTGGCTTCTGGGATTCAGAATCCCCCCCCCCTTGTTTTCCTCTTCCAAAAACTAGGTGCGTCTTATGGTCTGGTGCATCTTATAGAGCGATAAATACGGTAAATAGGATTATAGGAAGCTGCCTTATACTGAGTCAGGCCACCGGCCCACCTACCTCAATATTGTCTGCACACACCAGCAGCTGATCTCCAGCGTTTCAGGCAGTGGGACATATCCAGCTCTACCTGGAATTGCCACTGGGGATTGAGCCTGGGACTATCTGCATGCAAGGCCAGATGCCCTGCCATTGAGCTACACTCCCCTCTATTTAAATCAGGAGTAGGGGAACCCTTTTCAGCTCGAGGGCCGCATTCTGTCGTGCGCAACCTCTTGGGGGCCGCATGGCAGGGCCAAAGGCAGAAGTGGGCAGAGCAACAAATTTGCTTCATAGAAAACGTCAGGGGTTTGATACATGAGCACCCCACCGACACAATTTTACACCTTCTTCCGCGTAAGCGCATAAGCACAGTCGCAGGCAGGTCAAAGCACTCAAGGGGAGCTTATCCAGGTGATCTGGGTTGTGGACCTGGAAGGGGCATGTGAAAATGCCCCCAGGGCCAGATAGGGAAGCCTGGAGGGGCCACATTTGGCACCCTGAGCCAGAGGTTTCCCTACTCATCATCATCATCATCATCATCATCATTTTGTTTGTATGCCGCCTTTCTGTAGTTGAAACCATGCTCAAG